GTCTGAAGTCTGAAGCCAGACGCTGAAGATTAATGGAGCTAAAAAGAGTCTGAAGTCTGAAGCCAGACGCTGAAGATTAATGGAGCTAAAAAGAGTCTGATGCTGCAGAGCTCTGAGAGTTCCACACAGAGTGCTGAAGAGTGATGGGAGTTCAGAGTTCTTGGATGCAAACGCGTTCAGGATGATCCAGAGACGTTTTGGGATTATAACTTCTGTTTGAACAACCTTGTACGACTCTCTAAGGGTTTGGCAGTTCTCACGGAGACGCTGAAAGAGTCAGAAAGGAACCCTACGCCGACGCTGATTTTATCGTCAACCAGGTAGAAGGTTCTATTTTCGACCAAGTGTACCGTGGGCAAGCTGAGATCTGATGGAGCGTGCACGTTTCTGGTCAAACAGATTAATTCCCTCACAAATCTCTCTGTAAGATAAATCTCCATTTCCATCTTAAACTCTGCTTTCTCTTAAAATCAGTACAGATATTTTAGAAATATCTGAAGCAAAGTCCTCGATCACCGCCGTGTGATTGACGTCCATTGTCTGTGAAACTTGTCTGTTATTATTTTCATATTTTGCCAAATTAATGTAAATGTTTGATGTTAAACTTTGATTCTGAAAATAAATGACCGCATTCATTTTGATGGGTCAAAGATAAATAACGTCTCTCGTTACATTTCTGTTAAATTCAATGCACGACATTTACACAGTCAGAAAGATGAGGAACTCGTGAAAAGTATGAATATATATCCATATATGACATACTACACAGCTAAGGCTTCAAACTGGTTTGGAATTGTTTTAGAAGACACAAGACAGCAACCAAAGAATCTCTGATGTAAACAACGACCCCCCCCCCCCTTTTTTTTTTGACGATCACAGCGGTAGATGTTAAATCCTTTGATTGCCAGGTCATTATTCAGTGCAGATTTGTTGATGCCAGGTTTCAGAGATGAAGATTACATCTGCCCCAGAAGAACTGACCAGAATTTTCAAGGCATCAAGTTTTCTCAGAAGGCTACGTGCGTTTACATGTAGAAAATGAAGCCCAGACACGTTTTTAAAGTCATTTGGTGTCATATAAATAGTGGGGGGTCCAAGGTTGGGTTGAATCCCTGTGAGCAGTAACAACATTATTATCAGACATTTTCTTGAGTTTTTTGTGACTGATGTGTAATTACAGGAGTTAACAGTGTGACAATTAGCCCCCATAATCGAACCATGAGAAACATTAATGAAGATGCGATCATTCAGAACCCCAAAACAGTGAAAGTTGCAGTGATGGGCAGATTCAGGTATATTAACAAGATTCAGTGACTCCAGCTAATCTGAGAACTGAAAATAGTGATCGTAATATGAATGATGCAGAAAAGTTTCAGACCATAAAACGTCACAGTTCAAATGGGCAAACAAACCCGACGAGGTGGCCCAACTACAGTTTGAGTTGGGCTGAGGGGGGCTCCGGCCCCCCAGTGAAGATGGATGGATGATCCCATGGGAAACAGAAGCTGGGTCCAGAATCAACAGGCCGAAACAGAAACAGATAATTCGCAGCAAATAGCAGAGCGAGCTGCCAGAGAATCCTCCTGAAGTGAAAGGCATGATCCTAGCTCATTTCAGGTCAACAGGGGCCAACAGCGTTATCAGAATAAAATTAATTATTATCCAGGTGAGTTTGGATGGAGGCCTGCAGCAACTCCGATACAAACTCCGAACTTCTCTCGAGCACCATGCAGCCCTGCTCCTTCACGCTGCTCCTTCACGACACCTCCGCACCCGACAGCACGAGAGGCACCCTCAGTGAAAAACGAGACTGACCGGAGTGGCTGAAGTTGACACTGGTTCGGTCCGGTTCTGCTCCAGTCCGGCTCCGGCGCTCTACAGCACGAGAGATGAAGAGGCTGAAGATGTCCCTGGCCCGGTTCTGCTCCGGTCTGGCGGCCCGGTCCGGCGACCCAGGCCGCCGGCGCTTTAAAGCATCGGAGCGTCTCCTCCAGGAGAAAAACAGCGATTCCACGGAGGTGGACAGTCCTTCGTTAAAAGTAACGGGCTGCTCACTGAAGCTGAGACCGGCTCTGTTGAAGACAAAGTCAAAGTCCCCCACAGCCACCTCGGTTCGGTTCTGATTCAGTTCGAGGGTCACAGGTACACTTCACCCACACTTATGAAGACACCACGAGGGCCAGTCCAGCAGAAAACCAGCAAAATACCACCCGCCGATTTTTGTCGGAACCAGGTAGAACCACAAAGGTCCAGATGAGAGTTTGTTGAGGTCTAGAGAGAGAGAGAAAAAACACCGGACCTTCGTGCGATGACTCCCCAGCTCGAGGGGTCACCTGGCCGTCAGGGTGCGCTCAGAGTGACCGGTGGGGTGGGAGCGGCCGGTCCTGGACCAAAATATATTTTTGGATGGTCCTGTCCGGCTCTCTGAGTCACTGAACACCGAATTCGGTTGGAAGGGGAACCAACTTTAGTCCGGTTCGAAAAAAAAAAAAGTGTCAGTTTGATGATAAAAGACTGCAGAGAAGCCGGAGGGAGCTGCCGTCCATCAGCTCGCCGGAAGTGAAGTTGATATCTGCTGAATATATTGCTCACAGCAGCATTGAAATGCATAATTTTTAAAAATGAGGTTAGTTTTAAAAATGAGGTCTTGCAGGTCATTTTGGCTTATGGGCAGTGGTTTGTTTTTTTCCAGCTGCTCCATTCTTCAGGGGTCGCCACAGCAGAATAAGTTCACAAAGACTTGGCAATTATTTTTATTTATTTATTTAATTTAACCTTTATTTAACCAGGCAAATCCCATTGAGATCACAGAACTGCCGAACTGAACTGCGCATCTCCCCATCCACCTGTCGGTACTAGCGTAAAGCTAATTAGCTGTGCACAAAATTAGCTAGGTAAAATGCTAAAAAACAAACTCGGCTGCGTTTCTCCATCCAGCTCTAAACTGCGAGTACAGACAATGACAGTTCAACTGTCTCTCCCTCCCCCTAACCAGCGCAGCTCGGCTTTTTTCTCTCCTCCCACCCAGCTCTGGGCTGCCGATGCGGGTGCAGTGGATCTCCCCCACTTTAATCTGCCAGTACAAACACGCGCAGGCCTGTCTCTTGAGTTCCACAGTCCATTGACCAAGAAAAGAGGCAGGTAATGAAAGACAGAGCAGTCAGAGAATTGGAATCATTCCTGCGAGTATGCTACATTTATGCTCAACAGATCTTAAGCTTCATTTTATTTAGTTATTTGGGGAAACTTCGCCTGCACTTTAGTTTTTTGGTAGATTTTGTTGATCTATATTTTGTGCAGACTTTTTCAATCTAAACAACAGAAGGATCTTTTTTTATTTTTATACTTTGAGACTGAATACTTTACTAAATAATTTCAGTAAAATTAACCCTTGGTGTTTTTTTAGTTTTTATATAATACTGCAAAGCAACATGTTAAGTTAATTTTGTCAAATGAATAACTATGATTTCTGTTTTTTTTTGTTATATCATGAAATTTATCATTATCGTCAGAATGCTCTGAAATATCACAATATTATATTTGAGCCATATCGCCCACCCCTACCTGACGCAACCACAGACCACCGAGCTACCACAGCCCTCTGTGTGGAGCAGAGAGCAGCTATCTAGGGCTCCCGGGGGAGCAGATGGTGGTGGTGGTGGTGGTGGGGGGGGGGTTAAGGGCCTTGCTCAGGGGTGGGGGAAATGAGGGTGGAGGCAGGTGTGAGTGCTTCACCTATCCCACCCACATTTTTGATGTTGTCAGTACCGGGAGTTGCACCAGCGATCTTCTGATCACAGGTCTACCTTCTCTAATCTCTGCGCCACCAGTCCCCAGTGGTGTAAGAGGGTTAATTACCTCACAAGTGTTAAACAAACAAACAAACAAACAGCATATAAAGATGAGACATTAAGATCATGGTACTTCACTACTAATTTGACTTCTCTATGCTGTATTAAAGCATTTTTGTCTTAAATTAAGCACAGCAAAAGTAAAACAAACTTAGAAATTTTAAAGACTGGTTGAAAAGCTTTATGAGCACACACCTTGTACCACATCAAGCAGATTTTTTTTTGTTCTGGTCTATGAAAAGTTGGTAGTAATATTACTGGTTTTCTCACTGGAAAAAAAAAAAACGGAGCCAAAGCAAAAAGTTACAGAGCTTTACAAACGGACTCTCTGGCTGTGGGAAACCAAACCAGTTCTTAACAAGTTTTTAAATAACCAGATAAGAACAAGTTCTAGCACCAGTCTAGCAGTGAACCTCTTTAGTGAAAGCAAGCAAACACTCTTTCAGGACTTTCAGGATGAGAGACAAATTCAAGAGTCAGTGCAGCTAAGCTAACAATTTACAAACAATAACATACTGCATTGTAATGAACTGAACCGTTTCTAATTGGATTTGAACTGAACTAGTATTTTACTCCTCCTGAGTAATTTGTAGCACACAAAAGGAATAAAGGTACAATGAAAAAAATTAAATACTTAAAACACTTAGCTTTCCAAGTGAAATTAGGTGCTTGAGAAAATTTAAACTGGTAGATGAATTTCATAAACAAAATTGTAAATGAACTGTATACACAGCACCTTTCTATCTAATCAAGATACTCAAAGCACTTTACAATACAATCTTTGTCCTCATTTGTCCATCCACACACATTCATACAGCATTCAACTAGAGCTCTATAAAGCTAACTGAACAAATTCTAGAGACTAACGGTAATCGGTGCTCATTCATACACCAATGGGACACACAACGGAGGCAACGAGGGGTTCAGTCACAGTGTCTTGCCCAGAGACACTTCAACATGTGACTGCTGGTGGAATCGAACCCCCAACACTCCCATTGGAGGATGACCGCTCTAACCACTCAGCCACAGCTACCCAACAGCCAACAATCAGTTTTTCATATAAAAGTAATTAATGTACAGAAAAGGCCTCCAACTGGACTCTATATGAAAAAAACAAGGAACAGACACCTAACCATCTCTAACTGGTTCTCACCTCATACTAATGGAAGAATCCAGCTCCTCCCATTCACCTTTCTGCAGGTGACGCTCCACTCGCTTTTGTTCACTTCGAAGCTGCCAACGCAACGCCGACAGCTCACTGAACACATCATGGTGGTCCTCTGAAATACAAACACAGAGTTTATTCTGGAAAAACATATCTTCTTAGTGATTACTAAACTTAAACCGCTTAATAAAAGTCTATATCAACCAGTGGAGAAATCAACAGAACAATGGAGTTGTGTAGCAAACACTACGATTGGTTTGTTTCTCTAACGTTTGTTCCCAACAAGAAAAACCCTGCATGTGTTTAAGTACCTGCAGCTCTGAGTTGGTTCCTACAGGCAGGGACAGGAGGAGACTGAATACCTGAGGAAGAACGCGCCTTCAAAACCAAGTGGCGAGGGAGAAATGAAAGCACATTATTACATTTAAGTACTGACAGAAAGTAGCAAGAACACATCATTTTTAACCTTTTTCCCTGCTCTCTTATCAGTCTCGCTGTTCATCTTCAAAGCTTTCATACGACAACATCCTTCTTACAGTACTGGTCTCTCTTGATAGCAGAGACAGGACTAACCCTTCAATATACCTGACAGCAGTAACAAACCAGTAAATAAACATTTTCACAACTCATATCCTGATGCATGCTCATTAATCCAGGTAGAAAAATCTAAAGTTAAATCTGGTCCTCTGGACATTCAAAAAAAAAAAAAAAAACAAAGCAAAACAACAAAAAAAATGTAGAAATGTTTCATCTTTCATCCAAAAGACTTCCTCAATCTGAGGTGCTGTATTCAGCTCAGTCTTATAAATAGCACCTTCTCACAGTGGATCAACCAGTTTGCTGCTGACAACCAAAACCAGCTGCTCACATGGTCAAGAAGAACCATCAGCCTAACAAAGGATCATTAACACACTGATGGCTGTTTACTTTTCACAGGAGGCTGAGTGATACTAGCAATAACAGAATTGTAAGAAGGGGACAGTTGAACCCGGAGGCCTCCACCCCTGTTTAAGGATGGACGATTTCTTTTCACAAAGATGGCCTCCTTTACTCCTCTGTCAAACAATCGCTCTTCTCTATCCAGGACGTGAACATCTTCATCCCTGAAAGAGTGACCGCTGGCCTGGAGATGAGTGTAGACAACAGAGTCCTGGCCTGATGTTGTTGCTCTTCTGTGCTGGGCCATCCTTTTGGCCAGTGGCTGTTTAGTTTCCCCGATGTAAGACTGATCACAGCCCTCCTGACACTGAATAGCATACACAATATTACTCTGTTTGTGCCGGGGGACTGGATTTTTAGGATGAACCAGTCCGTGACGTAATGTATTTTGGGGTTTAAAAGTAACTGGGACGTTATGTTTAGAAACTAAACGTCTCAGTTTCTCTGATACTCTCTCAACATATGGAATGACCACTGGTCTGGGTCTGGGTTCCTCCTTTTCACCTGATGGCTGACTGGAGTCCTGTTTGGGTTTCTTCTCTACTTTCAGGAAGGCCCAGTTAGGATATCCACATTGCTCTAGAGCCTGTCTTGTGTGGGATTTCTCCTTCTGCCTGGCTCCTGAGTTAGTGGGGACGCGGTCTGCTCTGTGGTACAAAGTCCTGATGACTCCCAACTTGTACTCCAAAGGGTGATGGGAGTCAAACTGCAAATACTGGTCTGTGTGGGTGGGTTTGCTGTACACCTCAGTTTGCAAATGTCCTCTATCAGAGACTGAGACTTCACAGTCCAAGAAAGCCAACCTGCCATTTTTTACATCTTCTCGTGTGAACTTGATGTATTTATCCACAGAGTTGATGTGGTCAGTAAAATGGACTACCTGGGATTTAATTTTAACCCAGGTGTCATCAACATACCTGAACCAATGACTTGGTGGTGTCCCTGAAAAGGACGTGAAGGCTCTCTTTTCTACCTCCTCCATGTACAGGTTGGCAACAATAGGAGAAACTGGAGACCCCATAGCACACCCATGTTTCTGCCTATAATATTGCTCCCCATATGTGAAGTAGGTTGACTGCAGGCACAGTTTCAAAAGTTGACACATTTGTTCTGTGGAAAGCGTGGTCCTGCTGCTCAGAGTGGTGTCTGATTTTAATTTTAAACTGACCACCTCTACTGCATCATCAACAGGAATGCACGTAAAGAGTGATGTGACATCAAAAGAGACCATTGTTTCATCAGTCTCCATGATGACATCCCTCAGCTTATCCACAAAGTCCATGGTGTTCTGTATGTGATGTTCTGAGCTGCCAACTAAAGGGTGAGTACAGACGCCAGATATTTGGAAACATTGTAAGTGACAGAGTTAATCATGCTAACAATTGGTCTTAAAGGTACAACTTGTTTGTAGATTTTAGGTAAACCATACAGACTAGGTGTGGCCTCCCCTGGGTACAGTCTGTGGTACAGAAAACGATCAATAGCCTTGTCCTGTTCCAAAATTTTCAGGCAATTTATCAACTTCTTCTTGTAACCACTTCCTGGATTTCTTTTCAGAGGTTCATAAGTGTTTTAAGTCACTAAGGAGTGTCATAACTTTCTCATGATAGTCTTTCTGGTTCAAAATCACTGTGCACCTTCCTTTGTCCGCTGGGAGAATGATGATGTTTTTGTCCTTGCTAAGAGTGGTGAGTGCGTCCCTCTCCTCTCTACTGATGTTGGAAGGTGGCGGTTTGGCATTGCTGAGGCAGGATGAAACTTGGATTCTGAGCTGTTCTGCTTCAGCCTCTTTAATTTTGTTGTTGCGGATGGCTGACTCAGTAGCTGTGATCATCTCCACCAGAGGAATTCTACTTGGTGGAACCGCAAAGTTCAGTCCCCTGGCAAGAATCTCTGTCTCCGGCTGGGTGAGCTGTCTATCAGATAAATTCTTCTCCCACTTTTCTGTCTCCCTGGCATGTAACTGTCTACTGGAGTGTTGTCTTACACTGAATGTGTTGTTATTGGAATTGTGATGGTGCTGATGAGTTAACTTACTTACTTACTAATAACTCATCAACACCATCACAATTCTAATAACAGTGTAAGACAACACTCCAGTAGACAATTACATGCCAGGGAGACAGAAAAGTGGGTGAAGAATTTATCTGACAGACAGCTCACCCAGCCGGAGACAGAGATTCTTGCCAGGGGACTGAACTTTGTGGTTGCACCAAGAAGAATTCCTCTGGTGGAGATGATCACAGCCACAGAACCAGCCATCCGTAACAACAAAATTAAAGAGGGTGAAGCAGAACAACTCAGAATCAAAGTTTCAGCCTGCCTCAGAAATGCCAAACCACCACCTTCCAACATCAGTAGAGAGAAGAGGGATGCACTCACCACTCTTAGCAAGGACAAAAACATCATCATTCTCCCAGCAGACAAAGGAAGGTGCACAGTGATTTTGAACCAGAAAGACTATCATGAGAAAGTTATGACACTCCTTAGTGACTTAAAACACTTATGAACCTCTGAAAAGAGATCCAGGAAGTGGTAACAAGAAGAAGTTGATAGACTGCCTGAAAATTTTGGAACAGGACACAGCTATTGACTGTTTTTTGTACCACAGACTGTACCCAGGGGAGGCCACACTTATAGTCTGTATGGTTTACCTAAAATCCACAAACAAGTTGTACCTTTAAGACCAATTGTTTGCATGATTAACTCTGTCACTTACAATGTTTCCAATAATCTGGCATATGTACTCATCCCTTTAGTTGGCAGCTCAGAACATCGCATACAGAACACCATGGACTTTGTGGATAAGGTGAGGGATGTCATCATGGAGACTGATGAAACAATGGTCTCTTTTGATGTCACATCACTCTTTAAGTGCATTCCTGTTCATGATGCAGTCGAGGTGGTAAGTTTAAGATTAAAATCAGACACCACTCTGAGCAGCAGGACCACACTTTCTACAGAACAACTGTGTCAACTCTTGAAACTGTGCCTGCAGTCAACCTACGTCACATATGGGGAGTGTAAAGACGCTCTTATCTGCTGTGCTGTACTGCTCGATGTATTACAACTGTATCTTGTCCTTTATCTGTATCTCCTTGGCTTTTGGATCCGCTTGCCTTTTGGTATCAACAAGTACAGAGTGAACTAAGTCAGAGAATGTATTTAAGTTTTTTGTGTACGGGACATGAACTAACAGGGAGCTGCTGGTGTGTGTCCCACCTGATGACAAGATCACTAGTAAACTGGAACGGCAGAAGAAAATAATAAAACAACTCCATAAAAGGACTTCTAGGAAATGAAGACATCAGTTTGAACCAGTTTAGACAAAGAACTGTAAGAATATCTGACATGTCTCTAGGTGGAGCTTTTGTGTTTAAATACAGAGGAACATGAAAGCTCCAGTCAGACGCGTCTTGGGTAGAGATAGAGTGTCAAAGTTTTTTTTGAAGTAATATATCAGTTATAAGCTTGTGTAAGGATGAGGAAATACAAGTTGTGATTAAAAGAGGCAGGTCGGGACCTGGCCTGGGATCTGGGACCCCTGTGTGAGTCAACAAAGTTGGGGACTTCTGTCAGTCGGGAGTGGCGCCCCAAACTTCTTCCCGGACGTGGGGGAAGGTAGCCAGGTTGGATTGAGTTTTCTTTTGGAACGTGACTGTCCACAAATAAGAACAAGAGTTGACCACACCTGTGAGAACTGTCAGAGATACTTAAATGGTGATGACAGATTCTGATGATTATTGAAGTGTATTTTTTGAACTGTCAGAGAAACTTAAATGGTGATGACAGTTTTAGATGATTATTGAGGTGTATTTTTTGAACTGTCAGAGAAACTTAAATGGTGATGACAGATTCTGATGATAATTGAAGAAAGGTGTATTTTTTGTGAGAAACAAACTGAAAGCTGTCCAAAACGAGATCGGATAAGAAAGAGTGACTGAGTGAAAGAGCTGTGCAGCAAGAGTGGGTGTGTGTTTGAGGAGAAGCTCTTTGCAGTGTGATTTTGGTGGTTTAATTGCTTCGCCGCCGAGCGAGCTCGAGTTTTCTCACCACCGAGTGAGAAAACGAGTCATTTTGTGTAAAACATAATGTTATACAGACAAAACGTGACAAAATGAACGGTGAATTTGACGCAGACATTGACGCTTCAGGCTGGGGTCAGGGACCCTGGCTCCCTCTCGAAACTCAGATTGACAAATTAGTAACGTACCTGATGGACCATGATGACTTGACAAAGAAAAATAAAAGAGAAGATAACTCAAGCAGTAGTGAAACAGGAAGTCCCACTGAGTTCATGCAAACCTTTAGGAGGACCTTTACTAAAACAACTGCAAACGCTAAGACAGGAAGTAACAAAAAATATGCAGAAAGAACAAGAAGCGAGAGGGCTAGGAAAAAGAAAATGTAAAAAGGACAGAGAAGAAGCAGAGAAACAG